CTATGGTCCCAGCTACTTGGGAGGTGGAGGCAGGAGACTCGCTTGAGCCCAGGAGTTGGAGGTTGCTGTGAGCTGTAATGTCACGGCACTCTACCCAGGGGGACAGCTTGAGGCTCTGTCTCAAAAAATATATATATATAAATAAAATAAAATAAATAAGTAAATAGGTCTGGGATGGGGCCTAGGAATTTGCATTTCTAGCAAGGTCTCAGGTCATGCTGATACTGTTGGCCTTGAGACAAGGGTCTGAGACTCACTGCTGTTTGCATTAACTTGGAAAATGTCCATGATTTAGTAAATTAAAAAGCCAGGCTAATAAACATCATGTGCAGTAATATTTTTGTACCTGCCTTTAGTCACTCCTTAGAGTGCTGCCCCCTCACTCACACCTTTGCCTCCTCCCCCATGACTCAGTCTTTGACAGGCATAAGAATGTGAAGTGGGGAAAACACTTCCTGGAAGACTACACCCCTCCCCCCATGGAGAGTTCTAGTAGGTGAAGGAGAGAGAGGAGAGGAAGGGAGAGACTGGGGGAGTAAAAGTGGGGTGTCTTACTTTGTTGCCCTGGGTAGATTGCCATGGTGTCATAGTTCACAGCAACCTCAAACTCTGAGGCTTAAGCGTTCCTCCTGTCTCAGCCTCCCAAGTATCTGGGAGAACAGGTGCCCAGCACAACACCTGGCTAGTTTTTCTATTTTTAGTAGAGAAGGGGGCTCACTTTTTTTTTGAGACAGAGCCTCAAGCTGTCCCCCTGGGTAGAGTGCCATGGCATCACACAACCTCCAACTCCTAGGCTCAAGTGAGTCTCCTGCCTCCACCTCCCAAGTAGCTGGGACTCGCCACAACGCCCGGCTATTTTTTGGTTGCAGCCGTCATTGTTGTTTGGCGGCCCGGGCTGGATTAGAACCCGCCAGCTCAGGTGTATGTGGCTGGCGCCTTAGCCGCTTGAGCCACAGGCACCGAGCTGGGGCTCACTCTTGATCAGGCTGGTCTTGAACTCTTGAGCTCAAGCAATCCACCTGCCTCGGCCTCCCAGAGTGCTAGGATTATAGAAGTGTGCTACCATGCCTGGCTTGAAGCTTCACTTCTTGAGGCCTAAACAGTTTGGATTATATGAATCCGGGGAGTCTTAGTTTAAATGTCATGGATCTGGGTCTCCAAGATGGGGGGGGATCACTTGTTTAGAGATCCCAGTACTAGGTCATCAGAGCTCAGAGAGGGATCTTCAGGAGCCTCCCAAAAACATGTCCTGAGAGGAAGAGAAAAGGACCACAAGTAAGTGTCTGGGCATTGGAGGATCTTGGAGTTGAAAGGGCTCTGGCTTTAGACATGCTGGAGTGGAGCCCACAGGAGTGACAGCCCAATTTAGAGATCTTGGAACCCAAGTAAAAGGAGTCACAGATCATGGGTGCCCAGTTTGGGAGCCCCAGACTTAAAGGGCAAGAGGTGGATAACGCGTCCCAGGTTGGGGGTGGTAGATGGCATCACCATACCGAATCAGTGTGGCTCCATTGGGCTCCACATCCAGCAGCGTCAGCAGAAGCAGCAACAGCAGCAGCAGTGGTGGCGACATCTCTGGGCACCCGGATGTGGACCCAGGCATGCTGGGGCCTCATTTTCTTTCCCTTAGACTCCACCCTGTTTACAACCCACCCCCAGGTTTCAGAGGTGACCAGGATATGAACTCTCTCAGCAGGTGACACAGAAGACAAGGATGTTTTTGAAAATTTGTGCAGAGTATTTTTGTAGGGTTGTCAGGGATAGGCTCAGGTCAGCCTGCTGCTCCTCACTCCCAATTTTAGTGGTGGTAGCAGTGGGGTCTCCTTAGCTGGGACCTCCCTGCCCCCATTTTTTATCGTCTGTCACTTTTACTTCTAACTTTCACATCTCTTTTCTGAGATTCATTAACCACAAGTGTTTCTTTGAGCAAGTGGGAGGGATCAGCGGATGTCTGAGCAGGATCTGGGGAAGGGTGAGAGGGTCAAAAGGTCCCTTTAGCTCAGAAGTTTCAGAACAGCTTGAGCAAGAGCAAGACCTCCTCTCTACTAAAAATAGAAAAACTAGCTGGGTGTGGTGGGGCACCTGCAGTCCCAGCTACTCAGAACGCTGAGGCATGGGGATCACTTGAGCCCAGGAGTTTGAGGTTGTAGTGAGCTATGATGATGGTACTGCACTCCAG